CTAAAAACATTAGACCAAACCAGGACCGAAACCAGGACTAAACAAGGTCTAAACTAGGACTAAACCAGGACTAAACCAGGACTAAACAAGGTCTAAACTAGGACTAAACCAGGACTAAACCAGGACTAAACAAGGTCTAAACTAGGACTAAACCAGGACTAAACCAGGACTAAATTAGGACTAAACCAGGACTAAATTAGGACTAAACCAGGACTAAACCAGGACTAAATTAGGACTAAACCAGGACTAAACCAGGACTAAACCAGGACTAAACCAGGACTAAACCAGGACTAGACGAGGCTGTGGTTCCTCCTGCTGCACGTCACATTAGAGTAAAGTGTTTTTTGTTTTTTTTTGTTGTTTTTTTTTACATTTGGACCAAAACGATGCTGCAGAATCTTGAAAATAAGAGATTAAAAATTCCTCCAACTTGAATCTCTCCAATAAACTTCAACTTAAACTCGATGAAACGTTTGAAAAGTTCGTTTATCTGAACATTTCCGCTTCAGTAAAAGATAAAAGTGTTTAGATCAGGTTTGTATCTCGAGCACAAACTGTTCAAACTCAGATCTCCTGACGTGTCCTGGACCAGACGGACTCAGGTCGGGACTAAAGCCACAGTGCGGAACATTCTCAGATAAAGCGGCTGTAAAGTGTCAAGATAAACTCTGCTGCTTCGGGTCACGGGGACTCGACGGCACCGAGTCACGACACGAAGAACGAACGAGAACCAGAGCAAGACCAACCACGAGGCCCGGACCAGGACCAGGACCAGGACCAGGATCAGACAGGAGGAAAAACTGGAAAAGTGAGCGGCAGGTGAAGATCGACAGGGAGACTTCTGACAGGGTCGACAGGTGCACACATGTTACATAAGACACAAGTGAAGAGTCGATTAACTTTTAACCAGAGGCGCCGCTGCACTATGGACCCGAGAACAGGACAGGACCAGAACGAGACCAGACCAAGACCAGGACCAGACCAAGACCCAGGACCAAGACCAGGACCAGAACAAGACCCAGGACCAGGACCAGACCAGGACCCGCGGGCCCAAACACTGAGAGAGAAACACGTCTGAACAGTGGAGACGCTTCAGGGCCCGTTACACACACACACACACACACACACACACACACACACAGACACACACACAGACACACACACACACACACACACACACAGACACACACACAGACACACACACACACACACACACACAGACACACACACACACACACACACAGCTCAGGAAGACTCAAACTGAATTTTAAAATAAAAAACTGGAACACTCTCAGTTTGTGGTCGTTTGTAAGAAAAGACCAAGTTTAGACCGACTTTGTGTGTTTATCATGTGATTGAAACAAACACAACTCCAGGTGTGTGTGTGTGTGTGTGTGTGTGTGTGTGTGTGTGTGTGTGTGTGTGTGTGTGTGTGTGTGTGTGTGTGTGTGTCTGTGTGTGTGTGTGTCTGTGTGTGTGTGTGTGTGTGTGTGTGTGTGTGTCTGTGTGTGTGTCTGTGTGTGTGTGTGTGTGTGTGTGTGTGTGTGTGTGTGTGTGTGTGTGTGTGTATGTGTGTGTGTGTGTGTGTGTGTGTGTGTGTGTGTGTGTGTGTCTGTGTGTGTGTGTGTGTCTGTGTGTGTGTCTGTGTGTGTGTGTCTGTGTGTGTGTGTGTGTGTGTGTGTGTGTGTGTGTGTGTGTGTGTCTGTGTGTGTGTGTGTGTGTGTGACAAGGAACATTACTTATTGTTGTTACTTATTTAGATTTTATTATTCACATTTATATTTTACTCTCGGTTTGTAATAATAAAATTGTGAAAATAAAGAAAACTGTTTTGCCCTCGGCTCATTCACGATTAAATGTGTCAGTTTAGTCACATTTTATTTGTGTTTTGTTCACATTTTTAAGCAGATTTTCTGTATTTTATTTACACAAATGTCAGTTTGTGTCTCTGTTTAGGGATCAGACTGGTTAAAAACAGAAACACTGGGACATTTCTTGCATAAAACTGGGACAAATCAATAGTTTTATATAAATCTGCAGGAGCAGGGGACACAGGACCAAAACTGGGACTGTCCCGGGTAAATGTGGACGTGTGTTCACCTCAGTGAGTGAAACAAAAGGAACAGAAGGATCACGACTTTACGAGTCAGTAGAGTTTCTTTGTGTTTTGGTCGTTTTTAAGCAGATTTTTTGTATTTTACTTAAACAAATGTCAGTTTGTGTTTCTCTTTAGTGTCGGCAGGGATCAAACTGGTCCAAACTAGGGACACCTGGGACATTTGTTGTATAAAACTGGGACAAATCAGTGGTTTTGGATGAAAACTGGGACTGTCCTGGGTAAATGTGGACGTGTGTTCACCTCAGTGAGTGAAACTAAACAGCTCCAGGTCCAGGTCCAGGTCCAGGTCCAGGTCTGTGTTTGAGGAGGGACAGAGTCAGGACGAGTTTAAAGCTCTGAACAGTCAGTCTGGTGTGATATAAAAGCTTTAATGTTGGTGTTTCCAGAGGAATAGAGGGAGGATGGGGCTGTGGTTGTAAAACAGAGCAAAACTCTGGAGCACTTCCTCAGTCCCGAGTTCCAGCGCGCACAGGCGAACGCGCGGAGGATCCTTAGCAACCGCGATCCGCCGAGCCCCGAACGGCGGAAAACACGAGAAAAACACGACACAAACACCACCGAAGCCGCGCAAAGTGAGCGAAAAGCCCGCACCGAGGCTCCAGCCGGCCGGGGAGCGGGGATGGGGCGAGACGAGGCGCTTAAAATGGAAGTAAAGTCCGCGGAGGATGTCGAAAGAACCGCGCGGCAGGAGGCGGTGGATGCAACAGGCGGCAGCGCGTCGATGCTGCGGAGGAGACTGCGGAAAAGTGGCCTCAAACGAGGAGAAAAGTGCCCAAACTGCGGCCGAAGCGAGCGCGGGAGGTCCGGGGAGGCCGTTCGCACCCGGGCCATGTCGTGTTACGGCGGTTTATTCGCGAACACGGCTCAGTTTCGGGCTAAAAATGTCTGAGCAAGGTCACACCGCCGCGTCAGGCTGGCGGCGGTGAGCGTCTGCGGGCGGAAGTGGACGCTCAAAATAAAAGTCCCCCGAGCTAAAGTCATCAAAAATACCCTCTGACAGCGCTAAATACTCACTTCTACTTCATTAAAAGTACTTATCGTGACAAAGCAGAGCCCGGACAAAACCATTCATCAACTTTAATCACTTTAAGAGCGATAATCTGTCACACAAACACGAGGCTGACACTGGTCCAGGTGATACAGGCAGCAGCTGTTAGCCGCGAGCTAACGCACCCGAAAAGTCGCTCAAAATATCACCAAAGCGGAGAAACTACAACATTAAACCTCCCGTCACGCTCAGAAAACACATTCACCCGTGACAGAGCGTGAAAACGGGATAAAAAGTGAGTGTAAACGGGACAAAAGCGCGGATCTCGTCACGGCAGGTCACAGTGATGAGTCGATGCGCAGACAGATTCATGTTAGCATCGTTTAGCTGCGGGGCTAACACCTCAAATACCACAACACAAACTTTAAAAACAACTAAATATCACGTCTGACAACAAGTTTACACGTTTGGTTAAGCACATAGAGGCATAAACGTTTAGAAATGTCACACAGAGTCGAGTTAAAGTCGCAAAAAGTACAAAAACTTTTCAATAAATGATCCCAAAAGGCCTTAATATATTGACAGGACAAAAACAAGAGGCCAAAGTGCTGGTTTAACGGGTTTAAAACTGTTTAAAGTGTCAAAAAAGTGAACATAAAGTGAGTGGAAGGTTTAAAGTGTTTGTTTGTGTTGGTAAAAGTGTAAATATTGTGTTTGGAGCCTGACAGAGCAACAGGTGAGGAGGGTCATTAAAGAGCTGTCGATACGATACACACCTCGATACATGAGCCACGATACGATACACACCTCGATACATGAGCCACGATACGATACACACCTCGATACATGAGCCACGATACGATACACACCTCGATACATGAGCCACGATACGATACACACCTCGATACATGAGCCACGATACGATACATACGATCTCGATACAGTGCACTTTGGATTCAATACGATATATTTCAAATCAATTCGATACGGTTCAATAAAAAATAAAGTCTAAATCGTGGCTGTGACACTAAAAGTGTTTGTTAAATCACTTCTTCTTGTGTAAAGTTCATATGAAACACAAATATTTTAATCATCAAAACAGTAAAAATGTCAAATGTGTCACATAAATGAGTTTCCTTTCACTAAACAAACAACAAAACTGTAGCTCTGTAAGAAAATAATTTAGTAAAACTCACCTAAAAATACTCTTGGTGATATATCGATACTGTATCATCACGTTAAACGATACGATATATCGATATTCCGATATTTTTGCACAACCCTAGCTGTGACAGAGGGATGCACACACACACACACACACACACACACACACACACACACACACACACACACACACACACACACACACACACAGACACACAGACACACGGGGCCTTTTCTCTGCACCAGGACCTCGAAAAACTGGAGCAACAGGTGTTTTTTATTGTGAAAGCGCCACACCGGAAGCCGCGGCGTCGTTCGGTCCGCGGCGCTTTACGGCCGGGCCACGGCGAGGCTCGGGCCAAAGTGCACCCGAGATACGGATGCTCCTGAGCGGCCAGGCGCAGACTTTACCCCCGCTGTGGAGCCCCGCACCGCCCTCGGGCTCCGGCCACGCTCCCCGCCGCGGCCCAAACACGCGCCCGACTCACGAATAAAACCGGAAAAAAAGTGCACAATCACCGCGCGGGGATGAGTTTGTGAATGAGGAAGAAGCGAGGCTGAATTCCACCGCTTGGATGCAAAGTACAAGCAGAAAACATCCCCCGCGCCGCGTTGCATAAGTCAAAGTTCCACAAAGTTGAACGAGACGCGACGACAAACGCGGGTCAGAAGTGTGCGGGAAAGTTGTCCGAAGTGCGTGAAAAGTGCGTAAAAGCGCGTGGGACTCACCGGGGTTGACTTTGTTGGGGTTGGGCTGCTTGCGCCTGGACATCGTGGCGAAGGGGGGATGATGGGGATGGAGCGGCAGCGGCAGCGGCGGCGGCGGGAGGAGGAGGGCCCGTGGGCTGGGGAAGAGCCCCTCCGAAGCCCCGGCTCCGGTCGGGTTCGGGAGGATGCTCGGGCGGGGAGAGATGCGCCGAAGCCCCCGACGAGGAAGAACCGCAGCGGGAGAGGAGGCTGCGGCGGAGAGGAGAGCAATCAAAATGGCGTTTCCTTCCGAAGGGATGTGCAAACTTGGACAAACTTTACTCCGACTCTCCCTCCTCCTCCTCCTGCCTCCTCCCTCCTCGCTCGCCTCCTCCTGTTGCTTCCTTCGCTTCCTTCTCTCCTCTTCTGGAAAAAAAACTCTGCGTCCGCGGGCTCCGTGGTGATGAAACTCGTGGACGAAGTAGATTTTCTCCCGTTTTCCGGAGTTTTTGCGGCGGATTCCTGCGGGGCTCGGGGCCTGCGCTGCGCCGTGTGTCTCTCGCACTAAACCTGATAAGCAGGGCTCATCACGTGTTTGTCTCCAGTCTCCAAGGGGACGTGGCCACCAAGCATCTCTCCCCCCCCTCCCCTCCACGCAGCTCCTCATCCTCACCGCGCGGACGAACTCTTCCTCTGACCCCCGCGCGCGCCCCGGACACGCCGCACCCGCACTTTTCACGCACTTTTATCGACTTTACATCCAGTGATCGAATCTACAAACTCACGCATCCTCCACGCAAACTCACGCTCCCCCCCCCCCCCCTCCTCCCCCGCGTGCGTGTGTGGGTCTGGGCACGCGCTCGGGCCTCGTGTGCGCGTGTGATTGCGTGACTTTGGGGACTTTGCGGCGGTTTTGCGGAGGTTTTGCGGCCGGAGTGGAACAGGTCGGTGCTGTTTAGCTTCTCCTGCTCACACACTGCAAAGGCACACGGAGATCTCGCGAGAGGTGAGCGCGCAGAGCGGGGATGGCGGAGATCTCGCGGGATTTGCGCGCAGAGAGGATGCTTCGGTTTCAGAGAACTTTGGACTCGTGTTTGGAGCCGATTCACCGCGATCCGGCTCCAGGGAACGACTCGGACCGAGCCGTGCCGCGGCGGGACGCGCTTCAGGCGGGAGTGCGGCGGGTCCCGGCGCCGTGCGGGGTCAGTGCGGGGCGCGGGGCGGCTCGGTGCGGCTCGGTGCGGGGCTGGAGTCTCGGTGTGGGGTGGGGGGGGGTGAGTCTGTGCGCGTACACGTGTTGGATGAGCGTGCGCGCGCAGACTTGTGCGGGCCTGTGATGAAAACACGCAGCTGCAGCGGGACTGACAGCCCCACGTGCGCGGCCCAAAGTCCACGCGCCCCCGACCGGCCCCGCTGCACTTACACTCTGTCCCAACTTGTGACGTCATCATGTGCAGGGTGGACAGAGTCTGAACCTGCGGACCTCGGGTTCAGATGTTTGTGTGAATAAAAGTGACAAAAGTGTTTGGTTTTGTTCATCCTCGTCACGTGACGCGCAGAGGAAAATCTGAAACAACAAATAATGTCATTTCTCCTCTGGTTTAGTCCTGGTTTAGTCCTGGTCTAGTTCTAGTTTAGTCCTGGCTTGGACCTGATCTACACCTGTTTTAGTCCTGATATTGTCCTAGTTTAGACCTAAAATAAACCTGACCTAGTCCTGGTTTAGACCTGTTTAAAACTGATATAGTCCTGGTTTAGCCCAAGTTTAGTCCTGGTTTAGTCCTGGTTTAGACCTGGGACTAAACCAGGACTATACAACAGTTGAGTGTTTTTGTATAAATCTTCTGGGACGGGGTGGGGGGGCGTCTGGATGTGGTGATACAGGAAGTGCTCCACTGTGTTTTTAAACTCCACACACTTCCACTAGAATCACCTGGATCATCTGGATCATCACTGCAAGAAAAAACTCAGCCAAAATGTAAAATCTAAAAACTAAAATCTGTCAGAAAATGAGTTAAAAGTCGAGACGTGACGATGAATCGAAAAGTTTATCTTAAAATAAACGAACTCTGGACGAGAAGGAAACAGAGAAAATCAAGACACAAATATAAAGAACAGAGACAAATGTGAATCCAACATCAAAACTGTGTCACTTTAAACCTTCATCCTCCATGTTCTTCTCCCAGACTTCCCCCACCCCAGACACTTCCTCCAGCTCCTCCAGTGTGTCCTGGGTCTCCTCCTCCTCCTGCTGGGACATGAACACCTCCTGAGGGACACGTCCAGGAGACGTCAGAACAGACGTCCTCCCCTCAGACGCTCCTCTCCACGTGGAGGAGCAGCGGCTCTACTCCGAGCTCCGACCTCTGTGTCTGAGGGAGACGCCCGAACCAAACCCAGACTCACCTGTCCACCTGTCAGTCTCACACTGCACCTGTCACCTGTCAGTTCACACTGCACCTGTCCACCTGTCAGTCTCACACTGCACCTGTCCACCTGTCAGTCTCACGCTGCACCTGCACCTGTCTCACACTGCACCTGTCCACCTGTCTCACACTGCACCTGTCCACCTGTCAGTCTCACACTGCACCTGTCCACCTGTCAGTCTCACACTGCACCTGTCCACCTGTCAGTTGTTTCACACCGACATCTGCAGCTACTGTTAAAGCCTCATTTAAACTGCCCCAGGTCACTGCACACACACGGGAGGGACCTGACACACACGGGAGGGACCTGACACACACGGGAGGGACCTGACACACACGGGGTCATGTGACTGGTCCTGGTGCATTGTGGGAGACTCCCATGATGCACTGGGACAAACTCAGACTAAATTTAACAAAGCAACAGTTTATTTTTGCAGCGATTCTGAGAACGACTCAAAGTCTAGACCAAGACCAGGACCAGGACCAGAGTCTAGACCAAGACCAGGACCAGGACCCAAAGTCTAGACCAAGACCAGGACCAGGACCAGGACCAGGACCCAGAGTCTAGACCAAGACCAGGACCAGGACCCAGAGTCTAGACCAAGACCAGGACCAGGACAGACCAAGACCAGACCAGGACCCAGAGTCTAGACCAAGACCAGGACCAGACTAGACCAGACCAGGACCAGGACCAGGTCTAGACCAAGACCAGGACCAGACCCAGAGTCTAGACCAAGACCAGGACCAGGACCAGGACCCAGAGTCTAGACCAAGACCAGGACCAGGACCCAGAGTCTAGACCAAGACCAGGACCAGGACCCAGAGTCTAGACCAAGACCAGGACCAGGACCCAGAGTCTAGACCAAGACCAGGACCAGGACCCAGAGTCTAGACCAAGACCAGGACCAGGACCCAAAGTCTAGACCAAGACCAGGACCAGGACCCAGAGTCTAGACCAAGACCAGGACCAGGACCCAGAGTCTAGACCAAGACCAGACCTCTAGACCAAGGACCAGGACCAGAGTCCAGACCAGACCAGACCAGGACCAGGACCAGAAAAGTCTAGACCCAGACCAGGACCAGGACCCAAAGTCTAGACCAGACCAGACCAGAAGACCAGACCAAGACCAGTCTAGACCAAGACCAGGACCAGGACCCAGAGTCTAGACCAAGACCAGGACCAGGACCCAAAGTCTAGACCAAGACCAGGACCAGGACCCAGAGTCTAGACCAAGACCAGGACCAGGACCCAAAGTCTAGACCAAGACCAGGACCCGGACCCAAAGTCTAGACCAAGACCCAGACCCAGAGTCAGAGTCAGGCCCAGACCAGGATCAGATCTGGACTCAGACCAAATCCATTGAGGAACTTGTGTGAGATGAGGTTTTAAAGTCGGTTCTGCTGAGTCTCGTCTTGACGTCATGTGCTGCTGGAACCTGCTGGAACCTGCTGGAACCTGCTGGAACCTTCTGCTTCTCTGTGGTTCTTGGTCTTATCCACATGAAACAAAAACCGTCACAAACGAACGAAAGTCACAAACTCAAGTCACGAACTCAAGTCACAGGATTTTTTCACTGCAGCTTCAGGACGTTACCGTAGCAACCGTGATCTATGTCCCAGGGAGCTTTATCAAATATGAGAAAATCACTTCATTTTGTTGAAATCGTGTTAAAAAAAATAATAAATTAAGACAAATGTGTTTCTTGTGTGAACGACGTCACTTTTAAAACACATTTAAAACTTTTCTTCACACATTTTGGCTTTTTGATTGTGTAAAACTATAACCAGGACTAAACCAGGACTAAACCAGGACTGAACCAGGACTAAACCAGGACTAAACCAGGACTAAACCAGGACTAAACCAGGACTGAACCAGGACTAAACCAGGACTAAACCAGGACTAAACCAGGACTGAAACCAGGACTAAACCAGGACTAAACCAGGACTGAACCAGGACTGAACCAGGACTGAACTGAAACCAGGACTGACTAAACCAGGACTAAAGGGGGACTGAACCAGGACTAAACCAGGACTAAACCAGGACTGAACCAGGACTAAACCAGACTGAACCAGGACTAAACCAGGACTGAAACCCAGGACTAAACCAGGACTGAACCAGGACTGACTACCAGGACTGAAAGGACTAACTAAACCTAAACTAAACCAGGACTGGACTGATAAATGTGAAAAATCAGGACAACCAGGACTTGTAAACTGAACAAAGAGGAATTATTCTCACTGTGGGATCAGTATCGGTATCGTTACAGTCCTCGTGTCTGGTTCATGTTGTCGTTTGTGTGTGTGTGTGTGTGTGTGTATAGTGTGTGTGTGTGTGTGTGTGTGTGTATAGTGTGTGTGTGTGTGTGTGTGTGTGTGTGTGTGTGTGTGTATAGTGTGTGTGTGTGTGTGTGTGTGTGTGTGTGTGTGTGTGTGTGTGTGTATAGTGTGTGTGTGTGTGTGTGTGTGTGTGTGTGTGTATAGTGTGTGTGTGTGTGTGTGTATAGTGTGTGTGTGTATAGTGTGTGTAGTGTGTGTGTATAGTGTGTGTGTGTGTGTGTGTGTGTGTGTGTGTATAGTGTGTGTGTGTGTATAGTGTGTGTGTGTGTGTATAGTGTGTGTGTGTGTGTGTGTGTGTGTGTGTGTGTGTGTGTGTGTGTGTATAGTGTGTGTGTGTGTGTGTGTATGTGTGTGTGTGTGTATAGTGTGTGTGTGTGTGTGTATGTGTGTGTGTGTGTGTATATAGTGTGTGTGTGTGTGATAGTGTGTGTGTATGTGTGTGTGTGTGTGTGTGTGTGTGTATAGTGTGTGTGTGTGTGTGTGTATAGTGTGTGTGTGTGTGTGTGTGTGTGTTATAGTGTGTGTGTGTGTGTGATAGTGTGTGTGTGTGTGTGTGTATAGTGTGTGTGTGTGTGTGTGTGTGTGTGTGTGTGTGTATAGTGTGTGTGTGTGTATGTGTGTGTGTATAGTGTGTGTGTGTGTATAGTGTGTGTGTGTGTGTGTATGTGTGTGTGTGTATAGTGTGTGTGTATATAGTGTGTGTGTGTGTGTGTGTGTGTGTGTGTGTGTGTGTGTGTGTGTATATGTGTGTATGTGTGTGTGTATAGTGTGTGTGTGTGTGTGTGTGTGTGTGTGTATGTGTGTGTATAGTGTGTGTGTGTGTGTGTGTAGTGTGTGTGTGTGTGG